ATATTTAAGCATAATTATATTTAAATGTTTTGGCTTATCAAAAATTTTAAATCAACCCATCCAGGGGCAGAGCCAAGTATAGTCCAGTGTGGGCACAGGCCCACACTGAACTTTGGGCTCGAAATTTTTTTTTCAGTTATAAGTTAATTTCCAACCCAAGAAGGAAGGCCCATCCCAATCCAAAAAATGTAAAAACCTTCCCAATTCCCACCCTGTCTGTAATTTGCTCCATTTCATTCCCAAATCCCACCCGCTTCTCCATTTGCACCTTCGGCTCCGGGGCCCATCCGCCCCACTCGAGGAAACTCTTCGAACTAGGTACTCGCTTTTATTTCATGATAGTTATATCCATAAGGTCTTTCCATTGATGGGATTTAGCAATTAAAATTTAAACCTAACAAGGATTACTGGAGACAGTTTCCATTTCTACAAGTTTCAACCCTTATATATAAATTATAATAGTCTTTTGACATTTGAACCCGTCGAGTCCACATTTCCCGGCAGCAGACCTTCACCTTCGAGTCCACATTTCCACCGGCGATTCGACGGCAGAAGAAGAAGGTGAAGCCCCTCAATTTTGTCATTTGTGTAGTGTTGTAATTTTTAATTTTTAAGATATGAAATTACTTTGGAATTGCTTGCAATCTTTAAATGGTATTGAATTGCTTTTCAATTGCTCTTGAAATTAGACATAGAAGCCTCAAGCCTGTGAAGCCATCGAGCCTGATTCGGTGATTTCTAAAGCCTACTCAAGTCTCGATGTACTCGGTGACTGTGACTGTGAGTTTGCTTACTCTGTGACTGAAGCCTAATTCCACTCCATATTGCTAAATGCTAATGCTGCCTCTTTGTGAGTGTGATTCCAGACTTTCCAGTAATTATTGCTATTTGAATTGCACTATGAATTGAAAACATTCTTAAATCTTAATAACAATAATGTTTAAATACAGATATGAAATGAAGAGATTTTTTCAAAGAAAATCGAATGTCATTTTTAGTATTGTCGTTTGACTCGCAGCTTTCTTTTCTGTTTGCTGCCTTTTGGATACTCTCTGTAAGTATGAATATGTGAAGGTGGCTACTGAGGTGTTTAATAAGGAGAAATATAAAGTTGAGGCTGACTTTAAGGTTTATACAATTTTGATATACGGTTGGTGTAAAATAGGGAAAATCAAGATGGCTCGAAAGTTTTGGAGGGAGATGTTGGAGGGGG